ACACCCCTTCATCATCACCACTACCATACTCACACGCCATCATACTCACACACTATCATACTAACACACTATCATACACACTATCATACTAACACACTATCATACACACTATCATACTAACACACATCATACACACACTATCATACACACCCTCATGTACACTATCATAATACACACCATCATACACACTATCATACTAACACGCCATCATACTCATACACTATCATACTAATACACCATCATGCACACTATCATACTAACACACTATCATACTCACACACCAACATACACACCATCATATTCACACACCAACATACACACTATCATACTCACACACCAACATACACACTATCATACTCACTATCATACTCACACACCAACATACACACTATCATACACACTATCATACTCACACACCAACATACACACTATCATGCACACTATCATACTCACACACCAACATACCCACTATCATACACACTATCATACTCACACACCAACATACACACTATCATACTAACACACTATCATACTCACACACCAACATACACACATCATACTCACACACCAACATACACACTACCATACTCACACACCAACAAACACACTATTATACTCACTATCATACTCACACACCAACATACACACTATCATACACACTATCATACTCACACACATCAGACACACTATCATACACACTATCATACTCACACACCAACATACACACTATCATACTAACACACTATCATACTCACACACCAACATACACACCATCATACTCACACACCAACATACACACTATCATACTCACACACCAACAAACACTATTATACTCACTATCATACTCACACACCAACATACACACTATCATACACACTATCATACTCACACACCATCAGACACTTATGCTCAGTCACGCGTCAAGGATCGCAGGAATGTTACATATATATTTTTTTACTCGTTTTTCGTCACCTTTCTGAGGTTCTTGGAGTCCGTGCTAATTTTTCAACTCAAAGAGATGAGTATGCAGTTAACATCTGGAATATTTACGAGTGTGTGTGTGTGTGTGTGTGTGTGTGTGTGTGTGTGTGTGTGTGTGTGTGTGTGTGTGTGTGTGTGTGTGTGTGTGTGTGTGCACTCACCTAGTTGAGGTTGCAGGGGTCGACTCCCAGCTCATGTGTGTGTGTATGTGTGTGGAGAAAGGAGAGGAGCTGGGATCGAACCATAGTTCGCAAACTGAAAGTCCGTCGTTCTGCCGTCTATTCTACCAAGATAATTTTTCTGTAATAAAGTTGGTAGAATTACCGACAATATGTAAAGTAAAAGGACACAAGTGCAACTAATGTGACATTTTATTGTGGCAACGTTTCACTCTTCTGGAGAGCGAAACGTTGCCGCAATAAAATGTCACATTAGTTGCACTTGTGTCCTTTTACTTTACATAATTTTTCTGATTTCCATCTGTTCCAATATTTTCCACTTTTTCAGCTTATAACTGAGGCTTCTTGTTATTCCTGCTGGAAAAATCTTCATTATTTTCTTGTACACATCCTTTTATTACGTCATATGTACTTGTCATATCTTCTCTTTTCCTCTTATTAGTTAACGTGGGAGTACTTAGTGTCCTCAGCCTTCATCACATCTCAGTCTGTAACTCTTGTAGTTATTTAGCAGCTCTTCTGTTGACGTTACTAACTACCAGTGTGTTGGTTGACGTTACTAACTACCAGTGTGTTGGTTGACGTTACTAACTACCAGTGTGTTGGTTGACGTTACTAACTACCAGTGTGTTGGTTGACGTTACTAACTATCAGTGTGTTGGTTGGCGTTACTACCAGTGTATTGGTTGACCTTACTATCAGTGTGTTGGTTGACGTTACTATCAGTGTGTTGGTTGACGTTACCACCAGTGGGTTGGTTGACGTTACTACCAGTGTGTTGGTTGACGTTACTACCAGTGTATTGGTTGGCGTTACTACCAGTGTGTTGGTTGACCTTACTATCAGTGTGTTGGTTGACGTTACTACCAGTGTGTTGGTTGACGTTACTACCAGTGTGTTGGTTGACGTTACTACCAGTGTGTTGGTTGGCGTTACTACCAGTGTATTGGTTGACCTTACTATCAGTGTGTTGGTTGACGTTACTATCAGTGTGTTGGTTGACGTTACCACCAGTGTGTTGGTTGACGTTACTACCAGTGTGTTGGTTGACGTTACTACCAGTGTGTTGGTTGTCGTTACTACCAGTGTGTTGGTTGACGTTACTACCAGTGTGTTGGTTGACGTTACTACCAGTGTGTTGGTTGGCGTTACTGTCAGTGTGTTGGTTGACGTTACTACCAGTGTGTATGTTGACGTTACTACCAGTGTGTTGGTTGAAGTTACTATCAGTGTGTTGGTTGACGTTACTACCAGTGTGTTGGTTGGCGTTACTACCAGTGTGTATGTTGACGTTACTACCAGTGTGTTGGTTGAAGTTACTATCAGTGTGTTGGTTGACGTTACTACCAGTGTGTTGGTTGACGTTACTACCAGTGTGTATGTTGACGTTACTACCAGTGTGTTGGTTGACGTTACTACCAGTGTGTTGGTTGACGTTACTACCAGTGTGTATGTTGACGTTACTATCAGTGTGTTGGTTGACGTTACTACCAGTGTGTTGGTTGGCGTTACTGCCAGTTTATTGGTTGACGTTACTATCAGTGTATTGGTTGACGTTACTATCAGTGTGTTGGTTGACGTTACTACCAGTGTGTTGGTTGACGTTACTACCAGTGTGTTGGTTGACGTTACTACCAGTGTATTGGTTGACGTTAGTATCAGTGTGTTGGTTGACGTTACTACCAGTGTGTTGGTTGACGTTACTACCAGTGTGTTGGTTGACGTTACTATCAGTGTGTTGGTTGACGTTACTACCAGTGTGTTGGTTGGCGTTACTGCCAGTTTATTGGTTGACGTTACTATCAGTGTATTGGTTGACGTTACTATCAGTGTGTTGGTTGACGTTACTACCAGTGTGTTGGTTGACGTTACTACCAGTGTGTTGGTTGGCGTTACTACCAGTGTATTGGTTGACGTTACTACCAGTGTATTGGTTGACGTTACTACCAGTGTGTTGGTTGACGTTACTACCAGTGTGTTGGTTGACGTTACTACCAGTGTGTTGGTTGACGTTACTATCAGTGTGTTGGTTGACGTTACTACCAGTGTGTTGGTTGGCGCTACTGCCAGTGTATTGGTTGACGTTAGTATCAGTGTGTTGGTTGACGTTACTACCAGTGTGTTGGTTGACGTTACTATCAGTGTGTTGGTTGACGTTACTACCAGTGTGTTGGTTGACGTTACTACCAGTGTGTTGGTTGACGTTACTATCAGTGTGTTGGTTGACGTTACTACCAGTGTGTTGGTTGGCGCTACTGCCAGTGTATTGGTTGACGTTAGTATCAGTGTGTTGGTTGACGTTACTATCAGTGTGTTGGTTGACGTTACTACCAGTGTGTTGGTTGACGTTACTATCAGTGTGTTGGTTGACGTTACTATCAGTGTGTTGGTTGACGTTACTATCAGTGTGTTGGTTGACGTTACTACCAGTGTGTTGGTTGACGTTACTACCAGTGTGTTGGTTGACGTTACTATCAGTGTGTTGGTTGACGTTACTACCAGTGTGTTGGTTGACGTTACTATCAGTGTGTTGGTTGACGTTACTACCAGTGTGTTGGTTGACGTTACTTCCAGTGTGTTGGTTGGCGTTACTATCAGTGTATTGGTTGACGTTACTGTCAGTGTGTTGGTTGACGTTACTACCAGTGTGTTGGTTGACGTTACTACCAGTGTGTTGGTTGACGTTACTATCAGTGTGTTGGTTGACGTTACTACCAGTGTGTTGGTTGGCGTTACTGCCAGTGTATTGGTTGACGTTACTATCAGTGTGTTGGTTGACGTTACTACCAGTGTGTTGGTTGACGTTACTACCAGTATGTTGGTTGACGTTACTACCAGTGTATTGGTTGACGTTAGTATCAGTGTCTTGGTTGACGTTGCTACCAGTGTGTTGGTTGACGTTACTATCAGTGTGTTTGTTGAGGTTACTATCAGTGTGTTGGTTGACGTTACTACCAGTGTGTTGGTTGACGTTACTACCAGTGTGTTGGTTGACGTTACTACCAGTGTATTGGTTGACGTTACTACCAGTGTGTTGGTTGACGTTACTACCAGTGTGTTGGTTGACGTTACTACCAGTCTGTTGGTTGACGTTACTACCAGTGTATTGGTTGACGTTACTACCAGTGTGTTGGTTGACGTTACTACCAGTGTGTTGGTTGACGTTACTACCAGTGTGTTGGTTGGCGTTACTACCAGTGTGTTGGTTGACGTTACTACCAGTGTGTTGGTTGACGTTACTACGAGTGTGTTGGTTGACGTTACTACGAGTGTGTTGGTTGATGTTACTACCAGTGTGTTGGTTGACGTTACCACCAGTGTGTTGGTTGACGTTACTACCAGTGTGTTGGTTGACGTTACTACCAGTGTGTTGGTTGACGTTACTACCAGTGTGTTGGTTGACGTTACTACCAGTGTGTTGGTTGACGTTACTACCAGTGTGTTGGTTGACGTTACTACCAGTGTGTTGGTTGACGTTACTACCAGTGTGTTGGTTGACGTTACTACCAGTGTGTTGGTTGACGTTACTACCAGTGTGTTGGTTGACGTTACTACCAGTGTATTGGTTGACGTTAGTATCAGTGTGTTGGTTGACGTTACTACCAGTGTGTTGGTTGACGTTACTACCAGTGTGTTGGTTGACGTTACTACCAGTGTGTTGGTTGACGTTACTACCAGTGTGTAGGTTGACGTTACTACCAGTGTGTTGGTTGACGTTACTACCAGTGTGTTGGTTGACGTTACTACCAGTGTGTTGGTTGGGTGTGGGCGCCACACAACCTATACACGTGCCATTTTTTAATTAATATATGTTGTAAACGGCCTTTTTCCCCTGGCATC